CAAACAGTCGAAGATAAAGTGGGCCGGACACGAAATGCGTATGAATGACAATCCATGGAAAACAGCCGGTATCCCTCGGGATGTTAAACGCACTGCAAGAAGTCCACCAACCCGATAGTCAGAGTTCTTCACGAAAAGCGTAGAAGAAAGATATGATGCTCGACGAGTCCCTAGGGCGAGCAGAACCTACTGGGCTACTCTTGCACGCGACAAAGAAAAATGGAAGATTCACTGGCACCCGTTCGAGTCACTCGACGAGCAACGGGACTACAAATGATACAGGTGATACCACGGTACGTATTGAGACTAATTCACGTCTTGGTGTTATCCCTTTTCGTTCTCGCCGTTTATTTCGGCGCATATTTTTTTTACACATATTTTGGATTCAATTAGTAGCAAAGCAATAACTTTGAAATCGACTGTATTTAACCTCGGTAGTAAGGTAATAAACATGTGTTCATATTGTTGAGCACACCCGAGGTTCACAGAGATTCGGCTAACATTTCGACGTCTTCGTCTTCGTCAGAGCCGACTGCCCTTGTCGATGGTTCACAGTCGTTCCTCTTCTCAATGTGGCGTCTTCGTATCGCATCGAGCCGGATCTTCTTCAACGGAGCATCTCGAATGAGGCACACTCATCGCACGATGCTCTTTTGTACAGGACGGTTGTTGCTGATATGATTACCCGTTGATAATCGCTTGTTATTTAGCGGATAATCACCAAATGTTGATTGTTTTACTGTCCAGGTTAAATTAAGGTCGGTTTCAGAACCACTGTTTTGCTATTGGCTGTGTGCTAGCTAACAAATTACCGAGTGCTGCACGGTAGATTGCCCGTTGAAAATCAAACTATTATTAACAGATAATCATATCAACAAGCGCCCTATACAAAAGAGCACCGTGCGATGAGTGTGCCTCATTCGAGATGCTCAACTGAGGAAGATCCGGTTTGATGCGATACGAAGACGCCATATCGAGAAGAAGAACAACTGTGAACCATCGACAAGGACCGTTGGCCCTGATGAAAACGAAAACGTCGAAACGTTAGCCTAATAAACACCTTTATCAAGCTCGTCTAAGTTCAACAATATAAACACATGCCAATTTATTGCTTATCCGACACCGATGACGCGCTGAGGCATGTCCCTCGAAAAGATATTTTTACACTTAATGATCCACAAAAAACTGCTTCTGATCGAGCTTGTTCGCGCAATAGTGGGATTTGCACTAGAGACGTAGATACTAAGACATTCTGAGCAGGCATATAAAGTGAGTCCACTACAGTGTGCTTCCACACATTATATCCTTGGAATACCAGAGGTTGTCGACTTTGCTGTTTTCAAATATGCGTGTGAATAGAGGTGTGTAAAGATTGCGAGATATATTAAACGCAAATGATAAGACCACAAAGTGACATTATCTTTGTTGAACAGTGAATTATAGTTTTTTTATCAAGCAGTAAAGTTATATTCCAAAAACAGAAAAATACATTGAAGAGATCTTGCAACAGTTCCCAGGATCGACTTTCTATTAAGCTCGGCACTGGTATATGAATGCGTCGTTTTCTTGTTCAGTCATCAGCCAAATGCGACTATAATCAGTTGTCCTAATCTTCCCCATTGAAAGTCATGAAAAAAGCGGCTCTGAAGAAGGCGACGTTGCCGAGACGTCAGCTACTGTTGTATCGTATCGTGTTTTTCTATGGAAGTAAATGTGTGCTGTATAAAAAATCTCTCGATTGTTGAACAAGAAAACGACTCACTGAAGAGATTAGAAGGCAATGTGAAAAATATAAACACGACTTAAAAATCCTTGGAAAACCGCATTATAGAGTGAAGAATAAAAAAGTAGCAGTTATCTTTATGGAGAATACTATACTACAACTCAGATCAAGTCCAATACACACCGTGCGCAGCAGGCCTGCACATGATTCAGATGAAAGAGGTGACTAATATGTTACATCAGCGATTCGGAAACCAACCTTGTCTTTATAAATGAAGAACTCGATTTCGCCACTTGTTGTGAAATCCCATAAGAGACTTTTCCCTTCCGGTACAATGATGGGAATAGTGAAGAACTCACCCGGACATATGTCCTAAATACTACACTTGTTTTGTTGAGAATGGGGTCAAGGTGCGTAAAACTTTTAAGACGGGGATTATATACATAATCTTTCTAGGGAATTCGTCCCTATTATGGTCTAGATTAATGTTCCCTGCATTTCCAACATTATCCCATCCTTATTTCTTATTAAAATGCGAGTAGCACAGTGGTAGTGATGACAATCATCAAGAGCAGGTTCCACCCCGCAGTGGGCTCACTAGGCCTGTCATCCCCTCCAGGATAAGGAAATTGGTAATATAAGTTTCTGGCAAAAATTCGATTTCAGCAGTCTAAATGGGAACCCTCTAGCTCGGCTATGGCATGAGTGTGGGATGAATCAACTCGACCAACATTGAACGACATTCGTGACAAAGGCAAAAAATCCTTAAACAGCCGCGCAAAAACCAGAAGACCTTCCCATGAACATCGTTTTTGCGAGATTTAGTTGAAGACCAATCTTTGCAAAGGCTCTATCAAAGTCGGTAAGCATTCGTTCCGTTTGGCTAATGTTCGGTGTCACAAGGACGATGTTTCATATGACGGAAGGTGGACGTGGCTATTGAAGGGATCTGAGTAGTATTTGTGAACGATTTTCTCCATAGCGTTTCTGATGATTCCGTCTGGGCGTCAGAGTATATTTATCTCAGTCCTGTAATTGGAGACGCTTTAGTGGGCATTGCAAATACTTTGTCTATCCTCACTAGCTTACAACTACTGCCCTTCTTTCTTTGATATCTTCTTTTATCGTCTGTCTGCATTGCTTTGCAAGTTCGGACGTTAGTTGGCGGTTGTCTGCAGCTTATGCAGTTCCACGCTGGCGTATCAGCTCGAGTGTTTCTGGAGACAGGCGCCTCTTGGTGACTTTCAAACTCTCAGCTTTCATATCGCTGACGTGAAGATGTTGAATGAACTGATCATATTCCTCGTTGATGTTATCGACAACGGCATCTTCCCAACAGCCGACTAATGAATAGAATAAGTCCCAGTTTGCGGTGGTTCTGGGACTTCGGTTTTTGAATTTAGCGGCTTTTTCTCCTTTCCGCGAAAAATAGAATCTTGCACGAAGGAGACGGTGTTCTGATTTCTTGTAGAATTCTGAGACAATACGAAGAATCTTTACGTACTGAGTAGGGACTCCTTGACTGCTTCTATCTCAACTTAATCAAAGTCCTTCTGTAAATCGATGAAAGTGAGACAGAGCGGTCTATTGTAGTCTCGCGATACTTCATTGAGCCGTGTTACCGTGTGGATGTGGTCCATCGTAGTAAACCCTCTTCTAAACTCTGCTTGCTCACATGGCTGTCTTTCGTCTAGTGTTCTGTCAATCCTGTTTAGGACGACTCGAATGAAAAGTTTGTAGACGACAGACAGCAAGCAGATTGGGCGATAGTTGCCGATATCGTGTAGGTCACCCTTCTTGAACAATGACACGGTCTTACTGGTCTTACGCTGAGTAGAGTCGTAGCACTCAGACAGCTAACGTGTGAAAAGCCGAGCTAGTGTGTTTACGAGAACTGGCGGAAGGTTCTTCAGGTGTTCTTATCATATCCTGTCCGGACCTTGTGCTGTTCGATTTTTTACCGACTAAATGGTATTTCGGGTATCATAAGAGAGAACCGGTGATACAACGTATCCATGCTCCTCTACTTCATGTGATGGAAGGTTGACGTCGCTATTGAAGGGATCTGAGCAGTAGTCGTGAATGATTTTCTCTATTGCCTTTCTGGACACTGTAACTGTTTCGTCTGGGCGCTGGAGTGCAATCATTTTGGTTTTGCAATTGGTGAAGCTTCAATGGGCTTTACGAATGCTTCCAAGCCTCTGCAGTTTCGACAATTACTGCTGCTTTTCTCTCTTTAAAACCTTCTTTTATCGTCTGTCTGAATTGTTTTGCAAGTTCGGACGTTAGTTCGCGGTTGATTGCAGCTCTTGCGATTCCACTCTGGCGTTTCAGCACGACTGTTTCTGGAGACGGACGTCTCTTAGTGACTTTCGAACTCTCAACTTTAATAGCACTAACGTGAAATTTTGAATGAGCCGATTGCATTCCTCGTCGATGTTATCAATAGCGGCATCTTCCCAACAGCCGGCTAATGAAATAAATAAAGCCCATTTATGGTGGATTTACGCCTTCCTTTAAATTAGGGTCTTTTTAAATTCTACACGAGAATTGAAATCTTACGCAAAGGATGCGATAGTCTGATCTCGTACAGAATTTTGGAACAACAGCGACATCAGTTCGGCAAAACCTTCGATTTACTACGACGTGGCTTATCTAGTTATGATACTCTCCATCGGAAGACACATTCAGCGTTGAGAGTGGAGCGTTTAGAATTTCGACTTCGTATGAATGGTCCTGGTCGTCATGATAAACTCCGAAAGCCGTCTACACTGCTCGTTCCATTCTAATCCGCATCCTCCTATTCTCGTATGTTCCAAGAAACAGTTCACCTCCGGTATCATAGATAGCGTTAAATGGGCGGCGCCATTCAAGTAAGCGTGCTTTGTATGTAGAAAACGTCGCGTTAGTCCTTTGCGATTTAGGCAGCTTAGAATGGCCCTGAGATCTCAGCATCTTCTACTAGTTCTACACATCACTGCCGTATCGGGAGCTCTTTCGGGGTTACAGGAATGAGGCCTGTTCATTTCACCGTATTCAGCTTTTCGATACTCACGTAGAGCCTGCTGAACTCTGAACGGCTGGCTATACTCATGGGTAGCTTGCCAGCCTCTCCCAGAGTAGACATAGAGCTTATTTGTTGGAGGCGACTCCTAACCGCCTCCCATGTACTTCCCTGCCACACAATTGCAGGCTTTTGGCTAGTAGAATACAATCTGCGTTGACTAGAACGCACCCACACATGGATACATGAATACGCCTCGTAAATACAGAAAGTATGCGCCAAATCCAAGACCAAAACGAATTGGTTTCGTTTGCCCCATTCACGCTCAACGGAACGAATATCTCCAAATGCTTCGGTTATATCTACCTAGGTCGGGAAATCAATATGATAAGCCTAATCAATATGAATCAATATGATGACCTAGCTCCAGAGCTGAGTAGAAGGAAACGAGCGGCTTGGGGAGCTTTCAAGAGCATCGAGGATGTAATGAGGAAAACAAAGAACACCCGACTCCGTGCCCACTTTTTCGACTCAACGGTACTTCATGCCCTAACGTATGCGTCAAAAACCTGGTCGCTGCGTAAGCAGGATAAAAGGTCACTCAGCGTTATCGAACGCGCAGTCGAAAGGACGGTGCTAGGAGTATCCCATTCCACACAAGTAAGAGATGGGATCCGAAGCTACGATCTGCGTCAACGATCAAAAATCAAAGATGCCGTTCTGTACACCAAAGAGTCGAAGATAAGGTGTGCCGGACACGTAATGCGTATGAATGACAACCGATGGACAAGATCCGTTAGTGACTGTATTCCTCGGGATGTCAAACGTACTGCAGGAAGGCCACCGACTCGATGGTCAGAGTTCTTCACGAAAAGCCTAGAAAAAAGATATGATGCTCAACAAGTCCCTAGATGGAGCAGAACTCACTGGGCTACTCTTGCACGCGACAGGGAAAAATGGAAGATTTATTGGCGCCCGCTCGAGTCGCTCGACGATCAATGGGACTACAGGTGATACAGGTGATGTGCCAAATCGGCGCAGCAGAAACACGAAGTCCCTGGATGCATCTGCGTCTCACGGAAGCAAAGGTTGCTTTTGATCTGTGATTAATCTCTATCGGCCACCTGGGAACGCGCCACATTGCCTCGCGACTAAGTGGCATGAAATCCCTCTATGGGGGGGTCCGTGAGCATTTCCATTACCACGGGGGAATTGCTCTAATTGAGAAGGAATCTAAAACTTGATCTTACTGCAACATATTTAACGTGAATGATCATAAAAGGCAACTGTACAGCTAGAAAATTACTGGAAGAAGCTCGAAAACTATCATGTCTGAAGAAGTGCTGTCGGAATCTTCGCGACTATAATGCTTCGTTATGCGGCCTGATGAAAAAACGGTGAACGTCCTTCACTTAAACTCCCCACCATGGTATGGGATTAGTAACGGGGTTCTATAGCAATATTTTCTATTCCTTTTCGTATCGGACCCTGAATTCCCACGAATGAGAGATCGCCAAGGATGCTACTCTCTGAAGCTCAGATGGGAGAGAAGGCATGACGAGAGGCATCGCTCTGGAACCCTACATTATCATCGCCGGTTTCCTTAGAGCTGGTGGCCACAAATTGCGTAAATCTTCGCCTCTTCGATGACTTCGCCATCCTTTCGAGGAGTACCAGTCAGCCATTTATGATGCTCAATGAATTCAAAGAAGCGGAAAAAAGATTGGACTGCGCGTAAATAGGACGAAGATCGAGTTAATGAAGAATCCTTGGTACTAAGATGAGCCAATGGAATTGGATGGTTCACTGCTTATAGAAACCACCCGCTACGTGTATCTTGGACGTTTAGTGAACATGGAGAATAATATGAGGGAGGAATTAGAAGAAGAGCAGCATGGGCCGTATTAAGGCCAGTCAAAGAAGCCATCGACCAACTAACGCACCCAAGACTCGGCGCTCACCTTCTAAATTCAGCCGTTCACTCAACACTCTCTTATGTAGCAGCAACGTAGACTGATACTTGAGCTACGTCATCAAATCTGTGCAAACCCGCACAGTGCTTGAACGATGCCCTCCGAAGTTTAATCAGCACTCACAACATCTGGCCGGAATGGGCTGCTCATATCATCGAAGTTTATCCTATTTTCGGGATCCAAGAGAATATGCATCAAAACCGAAACACAGACGGATTAATCACATAAAAGAAAAATGGATGACAGACGGACGAAAAGAACAGTGGAATGGACTACAGGAGAATACAAGCTTTCTCCTGGACAATCACCGTAATGATTGGCTGACGTGTTCGTTTAACCACAGCCAGCGGTCAACTATCTGCATTCACAGATGGCAACGATTTTAGAAAATCGGCTTGTGTGAGTGAAATTTTCTCATACATGGAGAGAGGTAATGCTCGGCATGAGCCTATATCCAATGCTAGCGAGTGTGCCAAGGAATTAGGCGTCAAATCGATGCGGCAGGCACGCAGGCTTTAGGTGTCGATCTCTAAGTGTTAGAAGTGTTTCATTGTGAAAGCAGAGATTTATGTTCGATGAATGGTCTGAGATTCTATTCATATACATTCGTTCTAGAGTACGCTTAAATAAGAACATTATCACCTTCTTGGCAGGTTTTGGCCTTTGTACTCCATGAACTTCGTAGTGTTGATAAGCCTGATAATGATCAGTGGACGTGATTTTCCGTCGAATGCTAACACCAGACTCATCTCCAGGTAAATTTTTATTGACAAATTCACCTGAAACAGTTTAAGATATTAGAAGAGAAGAACTTTAAATATATGAAAAGGATAAAAGATAAAGCGTTCGGCGTTTACCAGTCCCGAGCGCTGCACTAAGCACTCGACATAATTAAGCATTGTCAGCGGAGGTTGAATGCATACATGGCCTATATGAGTCGCTGTGGAATACTTATGTGTCGAGTCAGTTCTGCTATTCATGCAGACAAATCTGGTACCAATTTGCCGTCTCCAGAGGGTGGAAAACTTGGTTAAGCGCTAGATCGAGGCATCCACCACATATATGTTGCAGGGCACTTCTAACCACACCAGACGTGTCCCGAAATATTCCAATAGGTTAAACAGTAAAATTGCGCCACATCATAAGAATAAACTTTTTTATTTTATTTTATTTGATCCGCCTTCACGTCTATCCTACGGATCCTAGCACTTCTCATATCCAATTCGCTTTCTCGCATCCATCGTCCACGAAGGTCTTCCAAGCTTTTACGTGTGGCTTCGGTTGCTGCTTAAGGATTTTCATTTCAGCTTGAATGTCGTAGAATTCTGGTCGACCACTTCTCCCTGGAGTCCTGAGATAGCCGGGCAGGAGTGTCCCCAATTGGATTACAGAAAGTGGTTTTTTCCCAGAGAAGTCCGGTACCAGCTTCCCGACCCCGGAGAGATGAGAGACTTGGTTCGCCTGGAGCGGAATCAAACTAGCACCATGCTCGTGATGATGAACATCGCTAGCACTCTGCTATCCGCCCCATAAAAATAAAGTGTTAAATTTACTGCCATAAAGTAAGCAAGATTAAATAAATGAAGAATTAGAAAATCGTGGTAGTAATGTAGGAAACATAGTTTTTAATTGTAAAGAGTCAAATAGCAAAATGTAACAAATAAACTAGTCATTTGTGGAGTCACGGATGATTAACACACCTGCAATAGTTCCCAAGATCGACTTTCTCTTAACCTCGGCATTGGAATATGAATGTGTCGTTTTCTTGCTCAGCAATCGCGAGG